TTTTTTTTTTTTTTTTTTTTTTTTCTATGATACAGTGTTCGAGTCGTGGCTCTAATCCCGATCCACGTCGAAAAAGACGCATTCTTCGCGTGTGTTTCATACGCGCATTTTACAAAAAAAGGCGGACACGCGTCGCGCTCAACGACGACGGGAGGGAGCGGCGTTTTCGAGAGATCGTCGCGATCGTTCTCGTCTCCGCGACACGATCCTGAGACGTGAGACGAGCGGATGTTATCGCGAAAACGCCGGTGTCGAAATATCGAATATATCAGAGATCGCGCTCTATAATCGCGATTAGAGCCCCCGCGACTCGACATTTTTATTTCGCAGTGGTGATCGCGGTTCGCCCTGCGCCGCCGCGATGACGTACAATAATATGTGAATAATGATAATAATAATTAATACTCGAAATCGGCGCGATTTGCGATGCGCGCGACGACGACATGGCGCACCTGATCGTTTCGAAAAATCTCTTAAAAACGATTAGCTAATTAATTCGCTTGATAATTAGGAGATAGGTACCTCTAGGAACGCATGCACGCGCGCACGCACTCTTCAGCAGTCTTTAGAAATATGCCTCTCGTTTTTCTCCCTCCCTATTTCTCGTCTATGTCTCTCAGTATTTTTTTTTTCGTTTTCTTTCTCTCCCCCTCTCCTCTCTTTCTCTCTCTCTCTCTCTTTGCTCTCGACATTTCCTACTGTCTCGCATGCTATCTCGCGATCACCTCGATATCGCGAGAATCACACGATTCTCAGTCGTTATTCACGGGTTATAATTTAATCGATATTACGTACAAGTTGGAGAATATCACTTTTCTCTGTTCCGTAGTCGTCGTTGAACGAACGACCGACTTCGCAATCGCCTCGAACGCAAATCGATAAAATCCGCGGGAACGCGAGAAAAATCGCGCCGTTGATATGTGTGCGATCGGATTTATACCGGTCACGATCTGTGTGTTACTTAATTCACGTACGTCCGTTCGTTCGGACCGATCAGCTCCGCTTTACAATTCCGGAGTTTCTTTCCCGACTGTTGAGGAACGCGAGTAATAATAATCATAGCTCTGTACAAATGTGAGAAGAACGCGTTTATCGGTGACCGAAAATCGTCGTGGTTATCGCGTTTGCGCTCGCGCGATTCTATCTCTCAAAATCTGTAAGCGCTTTTTTTTTCTCTCTCTCTCTCTCTCTCTCTCTCAACATAATAAGATACTCTCGAAGCCTCTCTTTCTCTCTGTGTCTTTCTCTCAAGCACATTCACACTATTCGCCGACCTGTAAAATCTCCGCGCGACACGTACTCGTAATAAACAAAGACCGTCACTCGGAGTTTTCGAATCGTCGGATCTGTGCGTTTCTTCTCGATCGGTCAATCATCATGATTGCTCCTTGAAGATTTCCGTGGATCGTTGTCTCGTAGCTTCGAATTGCGCGTTATTTTTCTTCTTCGCTATAAAGATTAATCACTCGTTTCGGCTACTCGCTGCACGCTCTGCCTGCTGCCCTCGCCTGCCGTCGTCCGGCCTCTTCTAGGTCGCGCTCGTGAACAGAACCGAATTCTTGTAATAACCTGTTCGTGATTCTGAAACAGAAGCGATTTTCACAAATGCTTTTCTGAAAATTGATCAAGGTCTTGCTTATTGTTATCGAATGTGCTAGCTCGTCGCTTTCGAGATAAGAAAAACTACGGCCGCTACGGATTTGTTCTAGACGTTCATTTAGACAACCGCGTGTTTTAGGCGTGTCGCAATTCTTTAATGGGAAAGAAGAGAGTAGATGTCTCGCGAATGAAGATGCGCGCTCGGAAATGAATGGTCGTGGGCGTAATTTCACTACGGGGGAACCGCATATTCGGCTGTGATAGGTTGCCGCGGCGCGATTCGTGAAGGTTGGGACCAGCTAGGTCATTCGATGATCGTTCGTTCGGAAGAAAGCGCCGCTCACTAATTATCGTTGCCTCTCGAGACGTAGATGAACGCGAAGAAGGACGCGCGAGAGGTGGATGAAGAGATGGACGAAACAAGTCGAGAAAAAGGGGGAGAGGAGGAGGAGGAGGAGATCGGCGAGGCCCCCCCTGTATCCGCGTGTACTAACGCACACGTCTGTAAATACGAGACCGGCCGAGTCATCGGCCTCAGCACGGGGCTTTGTGATCGAGCCGCCACTCTACTTTTTATACAACTGTCGCTTATGATTGAAAATCGCTACACGTTAATAGTCCGCGTGATTCAGTTTACTCGTCGTCTCTCCTCCTCGCTACATCGGATCGCCTTACTTTGCTGGATTATTATTATTATTATTATTTTTAATTATTTGATGGAACGTTTTGATATACTAATTTTGTTTTCTTCTTCAACAGCCTGTCAATTATTTAATCAACGTTGAACAAAGGTTTGAGTTTTAGATCTGCGACTGACGACAAAATTGTTATAATTTATATATACGTATAATTTCTAAACTTCTCTTAATAACGACAAAGTGTTACGGTTATAAGTGCATTTAAGAGACTTCTTGTTTCATTTTGAACGTGGCAAAATCGCGAATAACATTATCGTCGGTAAAAAGATGTGGGAGTTGATTTTGCAAAGACGTTGCCAATTAAGAGCGGACTTGTTAATTCCTTTCGAAAGCCTCTCCCCCGGAGTGGGCGGATGGGCGAAAAACGATTATTTACGTGCAACGTCACGCCGACCGGGGGCCTTGGAGCATCGAAATCGCGCTACGGATATAGTTTTTGCGCGAGTTGGAAACTTACTTCGGACAAGTTTCTACGGAGGAGAGCGAGGCCAAGTTTCGAATATGCCGGGGCTATGCCGCTGACGCCTTTGCAAGAACCGCCGCGTCGCGCCCACCCCCTCTCGAGACGCGGCCGCCCCTCAAAAGTTTCTAATTAAAGATCCGAACTTTATTCCGTACAGCAAGAAATCGCTCTACACTGTGAGCGCAGCAAGTAGCGCACTGCGCTCTTCGCAATGCGAACGAAACTTGCGAGAAGTAAGCGCAATCAAATCTCGTCGCGAATACTTAATATGCAACAGTAGGTATTTTTACGTGAGTCTATCGAGTGTTTTTATTTGAACGCACCTTGAAGAGGAGACTTGACTTGGTCCCTCTCGGCTGCTTGATGCTGCCGCGATTTTCTCTCTAGCTCGAGTTCCTGCACCAGCGATTCTGCGACCAAACAACAAACATACAAAATTGAGAAAAAAACATTAGGAATGTGTATATGGCGAACAAACCTTACATATAATACAATACATTAATTTTCAACCACACGATTCGCGTATAGGTAGTTTCGTTAAGCATTTTCTCGAGATTAGTATCGGCGTTCGGATAACGCGCTTCGCTGCCTCAATTATGAGTCGAAGGAATCGCCTCGAGGAGAGAAGTCCGTCGGCTCGCACGGGAACGACGCGCGGATTCGACGAGGCGTGAACCACGCGCGCGAAGGATGAAACGAAGCGGTAATTAGTGCAAAACCGGCAGCTACTGTCAGCCGGGCGCAAAAGGGGGATGGAAAAGGGACGGGCGGGATAACGGGCGAAGGCAGGCGTGAAAAGGCCGCGAGTTTGCTCACTGAATTTCGCAAGGATTAGGGTGAAAACTGGAAAATGTCCCTTTAATGATATCGCGCCGAATTTAACCGGGCACACGCTTCCGTTGAATCTTCTTTTCAACGATTTGTGTCACGGATATGGACCGCTATTATAGATTTATTTGACTTCGTGTTCGAAGAGAGAAAAACGAATCATCATCTATTGTGATAATCGATTTAAGATAATGGACGTTAATTAATAAAACAGCGAATTAAGAGTTGAACACCTAATCGATAATTCCGAATCAAATCATTCACTTTTAAGTTTTAAATGTTTTTGTAATAAGAAAAGCAGACTTGCTAATCTCATTTATAAGCCGAAGTTATATGCGAACAAAAGATTACAACGCAAGAAGAACAACGGCGGAGAGAACATGTCGCGCGACGTAGGGACGCGGTCGATCTGATCGGTAAGCGTGAAATGGCGCCTCCTTAGGCAAAGGAGCAATGGTAAAATCCAATTGCGAGGCCATTAAATCCCAGTTAACCGGCGGACGTGAAGTCGGCATTCGGCGACGCGTCCCGGCTTCGCCTCCGCCCGCGTTTCTATCCCGCTCTATCTTCATCGCCTCGACCGGGACTAGAGCCGAGATTCCATTATGCTTTGAGCAACAATAGCTGAGGGCTGTTTCGTGGCACGTGGGTGTGAATTCGTGCGTTCGTCAGGGCCGTTATATTCCACGACTTTGGGGCACACAATGTTTGCGTTTCGCTGAGCCAAATTACCTCTCGCGCCCTTATACGCGCGCGGGGTGTCGCGTCCCTTTGATATCCAAATGACAATTTAACTGCTCCAGATATAACGCCGCGCTTGCTTGCTCGCTCGACAAGCTTGACGAAGAAGGGCGACGAGAGAGACAGAGGGGAAGGGAAGAAGAGAGAAACCACACCTCGGGGCGATTTATAGAAACTTTCTTGCCTCTTTTACTTCGGGGAGGGGACGGGAGGAAGGGGAGACGATCCCGAGATTCAAGAACACATCCTTTTGTTAGAGATAAAGAGCGCGAAAAAGTGATTTGATTGATTGTGCGCGTCTTTTTTTTTTGTTTTTTTTTCATACGTGTTTCGCTTTCATTTTGTTCCGTTCTAATAACTTGCGGCGGGGAGCGGCGGCGCGTCTCGCCGTGTCGTCGTTGATATTATATCCGCTCGCCTGTCCGCCGTCAACGTTGTAAGAAAGCGATGTGCGCGGCAAACGACGACTTGGAAATCCGGATCCGCGATTTCTCGCGGATATCGTTGCGTGCATAGCGTATCGAATGAAGAAAGAAGAGCGTTCGTCTTCGATACCATGGAATTCCACGGCGAACGCGTCCCGGGAGTCTAAGAAGAATAAGCCCGCTAATAGTTTCGCTACCGTCTTACACACCCTGACAAATCGTTCGGACAATGAAAACAATTTCAGCCCGTATACGAGACTTCGACCTGGGGCCCTAAACGGTCGGATATTGTGTGTATTGTATGCCCCGCGCCTATATATCGCGCGGCCATCGCCGGGGCTTTTTGGGAAGGGTGGTGATGGTGGTGGTGGTTGTGGTGGTGGTGGTGATGGTGGTGGTAGTGGCGGAGCGACGCGAGACGAGGGCCCCCTTAAAAAAGACGTCCGCCTGAAAAAGAAGAAAGGTTCTCCCCAGAAAGGTTCACCCCCTCTATGACTCCGCATTTATCCGCACGTAATTAACTCCGGCACAATGCGGCCACGAGGAGACGGAGAGAGGCCACCTTGCCTCCGAGCAGAAGAAGAAAACAAACCGAATCGAAACCGAGGACAGGGAGAGAATGCGAGTAGGAGCGGGGTCGATCGCGGGGTATATACATCGGGAGTCTCGCAACAACTGGAAAAACTTGCGTGCATTATTGGCCGCGGGATCGAAAATACCACGGGCTCTCTCGTGCAAACCTCATCATTACATCTTCTGATCTGGCGAGAAACGCGTCACCGCAAAAGGGGGAGGCGGGGGGGAGAAGGAGGACCAATAACTGGCAATTGATAAGTATTCTCGCGACAGACACTCCTTATTTCACGGAAGTTTTTACATGACGCGCGTATAGAGAGAGAGAGAGAGAAAGAGAGAAAGAACTGCTGCCGGAGGACGACGTCCTTGGGGCAATGTAACCGAGTTTGCCGCGCCGGCGCCGGATATCGGATATAACCGTCAACATGATGAGTGCACTCGACATGTTTCGTTCTTGCGCGAAAAAAGCAATTTAAGTATCACGTCGAAGCGATGGTAATTGGCTGAATGCTCTTATTTCCAAGAATCGAGAGAGACCCGAGGGTTAGTAACGTTTATGAGCAAAAGAAAAAAAAAAAAAAAAGATGTAGGGCGCGAGACGCGAATGATGTGCTCCCGAGCGCGCTCCTATCCGTCTGGAGGGTTGATTTCATGTAGCATCGCGTTTTTAATGCCCTGATCTTTATGTAAAGCAGAGATGAGGGCAGAGAAAAAGAAAGAGAGAGACAAAGAGAGATAGATAGAGAAGGGCGAAAAACGGGAAGGGAGTAAACGGAAATAAGAGTGGGGATAGACGCTTGAGTGTCAAGCCGACCGTGAAATTGTGTGAATCAAGGAGCACAGCGCGGAGACACAAAAAGCGAAGAAACCGAGAGAAGAGAATAATACACGAAGAAGAATAGGAGGAGGAAGAAGATGATCGAAAGAAATCTCATTTCTCTCTCGCAAATCGAGCGACTTTCATAATTTTACATTTTCAAGTGCGAAGCGTTTTCGTCTTTTTCTTGCACTTTTCCGTTCGTTTTTATCGCGATGATTCCTTCTTTCTCCGTCGAATCTCCGTACGAATAATACGCTACATTTGTTCGAGAAGCGTCATCTTGAAACGTGTGTGCGAGATCTCTCCAAGCTCGCTCGGAGCGTGACAAACGCGACGCTAATTCTCGGTTCGGTTGACTTGTCAATGGAATCTGCTTCGGTGACGCCGTCAATATTGTTTGGAAAAAGAAAACTAGGCGATAACAAGGGGAGCGATCGATAAGATCCACTTGGTAATTGTTCTTTCTCCCGCGCATAAAGCCCACTCTTCAGTATGCCGTTCTCGTCGGCAAGCTCTCCGCAGTAACGAATTTAATCCCCTCGCAATCCGCGCGCGCCTTCCAATCGGCGCCCGCGGCGACGCGAAATCATCACGAGTCGAAGGCAGATTTGGCTCTTTTGTCTCTCTCTTGTTGTTTTTTTTTTGTTTTTTATGTGTGCGCGACCGAACTCAAAAGATTCCCGAAAACAACGTCGCTATATCCGATTCGCAACTAGTCGGACTAGTCGCGACGCTTCGCGAAAGCGTTTTTGTTTTTGTTTGTTTGATTTTTTCGTTTTTTGAAGCGTGCGTGAGTTTGCTGTGTGTTCGATATTTTCTAGGGCGCGTGAAACTGTCGAAGAAAGCGCGAAAAACCGACTGGCGAAGTCGCGGCTTGTAATCGTCGCGCGCCGGTAGAATGTCTGGGGCAATATTTTTCTGACAACACCTATACTCATCCCGTCAGCTGCAACCTTGCGCGAACCGTACACCTCACGCACGGATAGAAACTCTATCTTTCTTCTATCCGTCCGCTTCCATTCTCCCGCCTCCCTTCCCTCCCCGCCCGTTTCACCCTCTCCGTTTCCCCTCTTCTCTCCGGAACGCCCGATTCCCCGGGCTCTCTCGCCGGAAAACTACATTGTCGTGCCTCGTGGATATATTCAGAGCGAGGGACGTTTCCACAAGCCTTCCGCCCTAGCCTCCCGCCCGCCCACGTTGACGCGTCGGCTTCCTTCAGCCTTTATATTGCTCGTACACACGCGTCACGCTTTATCACTCTTATGGGGTTATTGTCTTTCGCGGTAATGGTCTACGCACGTGTGAGTATACGCACAGGTGCGACGCTCGCATTTTCTCACCCGCGTGGGCGGTCGGAAAGCTGGAAATAATTCGACGTGCGCGCACGCCATCGTCCGTCGTCGTCATTTTTCTTCCCGTGGCGCGCGACACGCTTGATTTGCGAGACTGAAGCTTACAACTTTTTATTCCTCTGATCATACTGTGTCTGTTCTTTTTTCTTTTCTTTTGTTTCGTAATTTATAGTCCACTCGTTTATTCAAGGTTAATTTCATTCGCGCGAGCGCTCGAGAGTGTGGCGTGTGTGAAGAGTTAAAAAAAAAAAGAGATTTAAACCCCGATGACGTTACGATCGCGTTATAGTCGCGCGGTACGCGATTGTCGATTTCGCGGGGCATTGATGAGAAATGATATCAATGCGTCTCTCCCAAACGCGATTATTTTCCATTTCGAACAATTCTCTTCGGGTCTCTTCCTCCCTCCCCCCGGTTTCCCATCAAACATTAATGCTCGCGCGGCGATTTAGAGTGATTGCGGTATCGGGGTGGAAGATGAAGGTACGGTGCACACCGCGAGGCAATCTCGCAAAGTCTCGATGTGGGTGTGTTCGAAACGCGCAGCGCGTCCTCTTCGTACGGTGGGAGAAGCACACGGTCGAGGAGGAAGAGAAGAAAAAGAGAGGAATACACAGGGTGAGGCGGGAGGGAGAGGGGAAATAAACGATAGAGACCGCTGAAGACGATGCTTTCGGAAGAAGGATAGGAAGGCGAGCGAGAAAGATGGAGAAAGCGAGTGTGTGCTGCAAAATCGAGAGGGAGGTAGAACAGTGGCAACGGTAGGGGAAGAGGTTATGGTTGCTGCGAAATTATTGCATATAGTCTGAATATTAAAGCGTGGCGGAGTGCTTCGTCGTACTCTGCGAATGGTGGACGTGAAGGAATCGCACGTCGCACGTACACATGGTACGTATGCGCATATCGATGTGCATGTGTGTGTGTGTGTGTGTATATACGCGCAAGAGAGAAAGGGGGGAAGAAGAAGAAGAAGAAGAGAGAGAGAGAGCAATATGAGGAGGACATGGGGGGGGGGGACCGGAGGAGGTTTGAGAGAAGAGCGGAGGGTTACGAGACGTGAGTGGAAGAAGGAGCGAGGATAGGTAACGCCACCGAGAACCGCGGTGGCCGCCGGGGAAATTACGGCTCCTTCCTTACTTGCGAGAGATGTGCATAAACTCTGCATTACACTCAGTGGCGCTCAAGTGAATAAGCTGTGTGAGACCCGAACGAGGATCGCAAGATCGTACGACCGATCGAAAGAACGAAGAACGCGATAACATTGTTGGTATCACCGAATTCTTTTTCTCTCTCTTTCTCTCTCTTTCTCACTCTTTTTCTCTCGAGAGAGTCGCGTACAAATATCTACAATTTCAAATTATTTCGATTGATCGCAGACTATTCCAATTTTCGACCAGTACGGATTGAATCTCGCTCCGAAGCGATCAATGACGTGAATTTGGCAAATCGATCAGTTATATTCCTTGAATTTAGCGAAGTGATTAAGTCATTAATCGCGCTCCAGGAACGATTCAATCAGTCGAAAGAGCTAGAATAATGTTGAAGAATTCGAATTCTTCTGCCGCGCTCATACTTAACGTGGAAAATACTTTATACGGTCAAGAAACAGATTGATGAAATGTTTAGATCAACGAAACGCGTTCTATGTCAAATTACAACAGGTCAGATACCACGAGACAGATGTTTCTGGATGTCTACGTGACAGGAATGAGAGCCACCGCTCGTATAGAATGCATGACTCGAAGACGCGATGGTGGCCCCCCGAGGTCCCCTCAGTGGCGTAAGTACCCGCCTCAGACGACGTTACGTCGAACTACCTCTTTCCCCCGGTGTTTCCTCTCGATGGCCACTTTCCCACCCACGCTACACAGCTTCGCTCATCGCTGTCTTTCCTCTCCCGCGTCATCCCCATCTAAATCTCCGTTGTTTATTGCAAATGGATTCCGCATCATGATGCCCGGGTGGCTGCGGGACCCTATTCAAATACCTCGTGTTTCCTCGTCAAGAACCAACTCGGTTTCTTCCCTCCCTCCCGCCCTTTTACTCCTTCTCCCCCTACCTTCCTCTCCCTCATTCTCTTCTCCCACTCTCTTCGTGCACGGGGTTGTTATTGCCGGCGGCGTGATTGCTCTCGCTCGAGATCTTTCGAATAATTTACTTTGCACGATACCACCACGACACACACCTCCCCGCTTCAACGTCTCTCCTTCGCCCTCGGGGTCGATTTTCTCTTTTTTTTTTCTTTCTCTCTCTCTCTCTCTCTCTCTCCTCTGTCTCTTTTTGTCAGGGTAATCGAGGATCGAGAGCGCTCGGCCGGAAGATCAGAAAAATTGAGTGGATCCTAATACGGGAATGCGATTATCCGAATTAGCGGATCCCGTCGGTTCTGAGCTTGGATCTTCATCGCCTTTTCTCTCTCCCTGCGTTGCCTGACCTCCCGAGCTCCTACCGCGTAAACTGTTACTTTACTGAATTACCGCAAACTTTACAATGTAGGTAAAATCCTAGTTTTTCCTCGCGCGCAGACAGTTTTATTTTCTCTTCGGCGAATAACTTTTTGTGTCTTCGAAATTTTTTTCCCTGCGTGTGTGTATTTTTCACTGCGAGAACGTAACACGACGTTGAAACTACATACTTGTTATGTTCCGTTCGGATTTTTTCGAATTATCGAGAAAAAAGAAGAGAACAAAATGAGACAGAGGACTGTGGTCACTTCGTTAACGATTAACAATTTATATCTCGTTTGTTTTAACGATTGCATCGACGAAAACTGTCTCGACGGCGAAGAAGTTGATAGAGACAAATTAGCGTGTCGTTGTTAATACTGACCTTGGTAGTTTTGCCAGAAGGCCGATGCCTGACTACCGATGAGGTCTAGTCCATATCCCCATGCGGGCTTCTCCGGCGTCGACGGTTGCTGCGAAGGACGCGGCACTTGTGCTTCCCGATACTGTTGAGCCGCTGCCTGTTGCTGCTGAAGGGGTTGCTGCGGCGGCTGTTGCTGCGAGGGCGTTTGCTGCGACTGGGAATGCACCGGACTGGCCTCCGGCGGTTCCGAACTCGTGCGCGTTTCCGCCGTGACGTTTTCTGCATCATAATAAAGAAAAAACATAATCGCACAATTGATTGAGACTTTTGTACTGGAAATGTGCGTTTTTCGGGTTGTTTCAATCTTCTCCCGGCGACAAGCGAAGAATTAAACAACGATATATTTTAATATGTATATTAAAGAAGCGATATATATATATATATAAATATATACGACTATATATATACATATACGACTAAACTGCGTGAACAGAAAGGAAAAATAAATAAATAGGTACGGAAAGAGCGCAGAAAAGTATAAAAACCCCTAAAAAGTAGTTCATAAGACCATAACCGTCTTATGACTCACCCCATTGCGACACCGAAGTGGCAGAGTAGCGTGCCGTTTGATTTCAAATTAGTATCGCGACTCTCTGGATCTGACAGGATTAATCACAGCGGTACCGGTAACGGCGGTGGCGGTGGCGGCGGCGACGGCGACGGTGGAGGAGGAGGCAGCAGCAGCGGCAGCAGCAGCAGCAGCAGCAGCAACAGCGGCAGCGGCAAAAGACGTTAGCAGCAGTAACAACAGCAGCGGTAGTGAAACCAGAGCGGAGGTAATGTGAAAACGATGAGATGGAAGAGGTTGGCGGAAAACCAGAAAGAGAGAGAAAGAGAGAGAGAGAGAGAGAGAGAGAGAGAGAGAGAGAGAGAGAAAGATAGATAGATAGAGAGGAGGTAGGGCCACAAGACGAAACGTTATATCGGAATAAGAGATTTTACTTAAAGGGTTTGAGTTTTGGTAGTGACAGGAAGAAGGGTGGCGTGCCGCTTGTTGCTGCTACTTCTACTGCCGGAGGATCACGGGGGGGCGAGGCGCGCACGCGGTGCCTAGTTAAGGTGCTTGGAGAGAGGCAGAGAGAGAGAGAGAGAGAGAGAGAAAGAGAGAGAGCGGGAAAGTAAAAGGGGGAGGAAGAGGGAGGGGAAGAACAGGCTGCCATCAGCCAGCCGACGATGGAGAGGGATTGCACCGCCGGCAAGGGGATAAGTAAGGAATCATATTCTGCCGGGTGTCAGGCTGTTTGCTCTGCCTCGGCGTATTAATTAATTTATTCCGAGATCACCGGTGTGGCCCCGGGGCTCTTAACGGAGAAACTAACGACGAGCTCGCGAAATCCTAAGAAAACCCATCCATTTGCTTGCGATAGCCTGCATCTCTCTCGCGTCTAATCTATGCAATGAAAATTCGGGATGTTATTTTCCCAGCACTAGCTAAGCCCCGCGCTATCGGAAGCTCTTTATAACGTCATAATTCTATGTTCGAAAGTGCACAGAAACGACAATAGGTGTATATGTATTATTTTCAATCAACGATCTGAATTTTTCTCAATATAAAACAAACTTTGTGTATAGACACAAGAGCGATGAGATATTCTCATTACGCACCGGTAATCGCTCTGACTTGTTCCGAAGATGCCCCCGTAGCCTTCAGGGCTTCCTCCAGTTGCGTACGCCTCTTGATCTCCAGGTCTAGTTGTTCCTGCAACCGTTTCCTCGCTCTTCGTTCCTTCTTTAACCGTTTCTGGTAAACCACTGTAACAGAAAGAGAAATAACGCGATCGTTTAGTACGGCCGAAAAAATATGTCACATGCGTATCGCGTCTACGAGAGATGCGATTTTCACATAATAACAATTTATTGTCAACACCATCGATTGTACGCGTCTCGAACATGCGTATACAATATATACGTGTTCCTATATGCAATCTGACGAGAAAACGCACGCCAAATTTGCGCTTGACCATCTTCATCCCCCAGGTGGCGGAACCCCGGCGTGGTCAGAATCCGACGGGATTATCCCGGGTGTATCATTCTACAGCGGGGGGGCTTCACACCGGCGGGCCCGAAAACTCAAAGTCCAAGCGGGGGTCCAATCGTCTCGGCGGCTACCGTGCGCGCCGGATCCGACGGTAGCTGACCGAGTCGAATCGTTTATCGATTTCTCTCTCACGGCGAGTTATTCCACGTTAAAAAGATACAGGGAAGAAGCTATATAAGACATTAAACCATCTGTGCGTTCCAATTATGCGCGAGTAGAGAGCCATTAAACGGACACGTGTAAACATGTAAATTAATTTAATTTACAACAAAAAAAAGGAAACCCTCGATCGATTTATTATTAATTTTTTATTGACCGTAAACGTTACGACACAATATAACATATAAGGAAGAGCTTACTTTGTTCACTTTTTTTTTGTCGCGGATCATTTTTTTCTTGTCTTTTTGCTCATTCCATACCTCTCTTTCTGATTTCTCTTTTCACGGATTTCAACTACTTTTTCGTTGTCCCGGACAAACGCACATACACATATATAAAATCAATCCATCGCGAGACTCACCGCAAATTTGCGTTTAACTCACACACAAAACGTACGTGTGCGGAGAACGCTCGATTCGCTACGGCGATGGGTGGTTCGCTCGGATACGCGCGGACTGATCGGTTTGATCGGTCGAGATCTGCGTCGGCGTCTTTGAACGGCTTCTTCTCTCTCTCTCTCTATCCGCTTTAATTATTTTCCATCATTGTGAACAGGCGCGTCCGTCCATTGTTGTCTTCTTCTTCTTCTTCTTCTTCTGAGAGCGCATCCCGACGCATCTCGACACTTGACTCGATCTCTCTCGCGAACTGCGGCTTTGTGTTTCGATCAACGCGCCTCGATCGTTCTCCGGATTCTCATTGCGCCGAAATCAACGCATAATGGCGTGCAGTGTGTACACGTCGACATCCGACCGACATTCTTACGTTGTTTGATTCTCTAAGCGAAATTTTCTCAACTTCACTTAGAGACAGTGTTGGAAATAGCAACATCTCACGACGAACCAAAAGAAAATCTATGATCTGAATTTTTTTGATGTATCAAGAAATTATAAATTAATTTCTGTGCGATCCGTTGAGACATGAATCCGTCGTGATTTTTCTGGAAGATTTTTCTGGAAGGCAACTTGGCGGAAGACGGTAGCTACTCGCGCTCGCTCGGTTTAACATTAGCCTACCCTGACAGGTAAGACGGTAGCGCGAGGCGTAGGTACCACGTCGCCCTGGGCGTCCTCGAATATGACGACAGTGGCTTCGCGCTCCTTCTCTCTTTCTCTCTCTCCTCTCGTCGGTCAGTGCGCAGCAGCATGGAGATTAGGCACGCGGCTTTAATCGCTTTCTACTCGGGCGTCATTTCTTGGGAACGATAATCCAAGTATTGCTGCCGTAGATGGAAGTAAATCGAGAGAGAGAGAGAAGGGGTCGTGTGCAAAGGCATCCATCCACTTTAGATGCAAATGTATTTCTTATTCGGCCACCGGCATCGCGAGAATATCATACTTGTTTCTCGAATACTGCTGGCTCTGCGTCATACGTCGCGATACATTATCCTCTCCCCTCTTACCACCCTCCCCAGCTTGCCGTTCTTTCTGCTTGAGCTTCACCAAAAATTCGAACACGAATGCGCCGTGTATAAACGCGCGCTGCCGCGATTCTCTGAGGTGCAAGATAACGGGGATGCCATCGTACACCAGTTATCGCGATCCTATCGATCGTATCTCGCAGGTGGCCACCGGTTGAGCATCACTGATACGTGATTGATTCCCGGCAGACAAGGCGCAGACAACCCCTTCGTCTCCTCTGCCTCTTCACCATGACCGTGTACCCCTCCTTTTCCTCCCTGCTTGTACACGTCTCTTTCTCTCTCTCTCTCTCTCTCTCTCTCTTTCCTATCTCTTTTTCTCCCTTTCTCTCTCGCTCTCTTTCTTTCTCTTATGCACTCTTCTCCTTATCCACTTTGGCATAATGCGCCTCCGAGACGTTTCTCTTCGTTCCTTTTCTCCCTCTCTCTTTCCCTTTTGCTTCGTGTTTCGTCTCCTTCATCCTCTCTCTTTCCTATGCGAAACGAAACAAGGGTGGAGAGAAAGTGGAAGAGGGTGGGGGCGGATGGGAGGACGAGGAGAGCAGAGGGAAGAAGAGATTGCGAGACGACGGCGGCAAGGAGGAAGAAGGGGGCAGACTTCTCGCAGTGACGGGAGGAGCGGCGAAGAGGGACGCAAGGAAAGCGAAAGAGAGAGAGAGCGAGAGAGACCAAGAGAGAGAGAGAGAGAGAGCAAGAGAGAGAGAGAGAACCGGGGACGGGGGGACAGCATTATGATGCAAAGATGGCGCGGCGGCGGCACCCTAGAATTAGCTCGAGCACTCGCCATTGGCCGCTCAGCAAACCACTCCTTCGGTAACAACCGACTGCATACGTTGCATACTAAGGATACACGCAAACCGGTAAAGAATTGCTCCAAACAGGACTGTTCTCTCTCTCTCTTTCTCCAGGGTTTGGCAATGTCGTCCACCTACGACATCAGCCAGAACAGAGAATATATCCGTCTGCGAATATATATCCGACGCGAAACGAGGAATTTTTTTAATCTTTCCATAATCGCACGAGATCCTCGAGGTGAGATCTCGCGTTAAGTATTCAGGTTATTAAGATAGTCGCGATTCGGATTTTTTTTTTTTATAAATATGCACACATGTGTTATCGTGCTGTTATAAAACGCGAGGTTTAAAATTTGCACGATTACATCAAACGTGAAACATCGTTGCTTCAATCGAATTTGTTCGTAAACCGCCGATGCAAACTCGACGAAAGACAGACGACCGATCGACCACCACACGATGCGTTTCTCGGAAAGGTACCAATCGAGCGACGACGACAGCGGGCCGTAGATCGCGGATGAACTAGCAATTTGATGCCTGGCGGATACAGAGAAGAGATTGTACGGAGTCCACGTGAACAGTGTTGAGATGAGATAGTTGGGCGCGGATAGATGCTGCGCGGGGTCTAAAGGTTAGGGAGGATTCCAGAGTCACGGTCGCACGATCTCGATCTCGCTCCGACGAAATGCGAGAGTGTACACGACGATGGACAATACTTTGTCGGTTGCAAAAACCGTTCTGCCGACTTGTTTTCTCTCTCTCTCTCTCTCTCTCTTTCTCGTTCTCTCGTTCTCTCGGTATTCGTTGGAGATACACGAGCTTTTTACACGTTACCTCGCATTGGATGTAATTACGGCGCAAGTTCTCTTTCCTGACTCTCTGAAGCGAGCCGTATTGCGCCATGGAACTCTCCGAACTCCGGCAAATCTAATCTATCGGCAGTGTTATCTGAAGACTTCAATGCCGCATACGTTTTTTTTCTCACACGAGCGTCGACGTATTTCTGATATATGCGAACAGACAGGCAATATACGCATACTTATTTTTTATTTCTTTTTGTCTTCGATCTTAATTATTCTCAAGAACGCGTAATTGCATACTTCAAGCTACATTGTAAAACCAGTTGTGCAAGTTTAATGAAACATTTCAAAGCAACACCACATCACACAGGGTCCGATCTGTATCCGACTGACGTAATAAAAGTTTGCTCGAGTTTTGACGAGCGCGAATTTAACGTGCGTCGGGACCAACTACTGTTGCGCGTACGGGTGACATCGGCGATTACGCAAGCGGCGTGTTAAGAGAGGGAAGAAATTTTGCGGTCAAATAATGAAACCAGAGCCCCGACGGCACCCATACACACGGCTGTCTTTCGATGTGACAGATATAGGAGAGACTGAAACGTCACGCCGAGTCCGTCGTGTATCGGGAGGACAAGAAGAGAGAAACGAACGCGAGTAAGCAAGTGACCGAGAGGGGAAAAGAAGGAGAGAAGAGGGCGGAAGGGGACGAAGACAGGAGGATAGGTCCATTAGATAATACAGTCAACAGAGAGAGCAGCCTCTTTCATCGAGCACGTCAAAATACATCAGCTACCACTGTGCGCTCGCTCAGAAATCCTCTGACCGCTCTTGGCGTGGACTCCCCACGTCGAAGACTCATCGGCCGGAGACTCTCTCCAAGTTCACCGTGGGTTTAACGGCTCACCCGCCCGACCACCTTCTCTCCTCCTTCTCCTCCTCTCTCTCTCTCTCTCTCTTGCAGGACACGATAGATCTCGATCGCCGATATCGAGTTCCGCGTCGACGGGTAGGTCAGAAATCGCAGGGTTCGTTTACGAGAGAGCAGAGTACCGAAGCTACTTGACCTCGGATGATAGAAGCAGCTAGTGTGACTGTTCGATGATATATCCACGTGAAATCTCTCCAATGATTTGGAAACAAAGACATTTGCATTGGTGTATGTATACTTGTTTTCAGGTAAACAATATCGATTTCCGTCTTCGCAACTCCGGAAGAACGAGCTGAAGACAACGTGAAACCTCTTCCGTTGTGTAATATCGCCGATGACGTGTTTCGAAGGGGAATATTGTTGCAGCCGATTGCGGGCTTCGCGTCGGAATCGCGTCTGGCCGGGCGCAAACAATCAGTGCAGGGCCAGGGAAACGTAATAGCCGAATCCAATCAAGAAACCAGCGGAAACTAATATAGAGACGTGGCGTTTTACTCGGGACTGTGCTTAATACCCGAAGCTGAGAGCAAGAGAGAGAAAGGAGATAGTGAGGAGCCCTCCGGGAATAGCAATATGATTTACATTTTGAGGTTATATTGACCATTCTCGC